TGTGATCAACTTGTCTCATATTACAACATCAGCAAGAAGTCCTGCAAGTGGACTCAAAGATTAATTTTTAGACTTATAGACATGTGCATTGTAAATTCCCTTATTGCATTCACTGCCAACAACCCTGCTTTCAAAGATGTGTATCGAAAACACAAAGTGTTTAGAGAAACATTAGCACATCAGCTGGTGCAAAAGTTATTTGACAGAAGGGCCGACCCAAACGTTGCTTCACCACCGGGCCCAGGTAGACCAGCACAGAGTGATGAGAAAAGATTGTTAGGAAAATTGTTAGTTTGCAAGTAGACATGATGTTCGAAGACGATGTGTTGCTTGTTCCACAAAGAGGACAGCTGAGGGCAAATATGTGGACAAAAAGACAAACAATTATTGTCAGAAGTGTGACAAACATATATGTCAAATGTGTTTTGAAAAGTACCACACTTGGTCCAATGTATAAATATATCTCCATTTTACCTGTAGTGATAGCTAGTGTATATAAGAATAACCTATTTTGTTTTATCTGTATACAATATTATACATTTTTAGTATGATGTCAGTAATAAACGTAATTCAAAATTTTTCGTGTTTTTACAGTAATTTATACCCGCGGTTTCCGGCATAAAAAATTGATAACTTATGTAATACTTTTGCTACATATATAATTATGGTATCATTTTGAAGCCAAATGAATTATCTCTTCATTTCTATGGACCAAAATACCATTCACTTCTTCTATGCTCCACAAAAGGTCCATAAAACATAAAAAAATGTTTTTGCTTGGGCACGCCCAACTTTTTTTAGATCCTCGCACCCCCCAACAACAAGGTTTGACTCATTGTGATACCAATATTCAAGACGTTTATAGCTATAGCTTCAAAATGATATATAATATTTATAGATAGGATCATTGATTGTCTCCAAAAAATTAAATCAATGCAAATAAGTTGATCATTAAATATTCATAAAAGGGTGTTGCTCCTTAGTAACTGTAGATATGGACAAAAAAATTGTTGTAAGTTGAAGCTATTAGACCATTGTATCTATTCATTCAAATTAAAATATCAGCAAAACACCTACATCGTCAAATCACGTCGATCAAAGCAGTAGCTGAAGTGCTCGGCACGCCACAGGAGGAAGTCGATCTAGTTGTGAACTTGCCAGACAGAGTTTTCCATAGTTGCAGCAGAAAATGTTGCCTGTTCAAAATGTAATTTTCACCTCTGCCTTACCCTGGACCGAAAATTGCTTTAAATCAATTCATACTTAATAAATCTGTTGTTTAAACCAACTTACTAAATATATACAAGTATACTTACTATTTAACTCAATTTCGAAAAAGAAAATAAGTTAATGGTTTCTTCAAACTTTCAATATGCTTGTTTAACAACCAGAGTTCAATATTAACATTCATTATAAATTTGACCTCTAATTTGCTAGTCGCTACACATTGATTTCCGAACATCCTCCTTTTCACATGTATTCTAGTATTGAGGCAAAAAGTCTATAAAATAATGTCCGTGAAGAGAAATCTGTAGATGGCCATATCAGTATTTTGCTCGGAAAAGGACCGATGACCACCGGTTGTTTTATTTCACACTGTTTGCAATGCTTTGATAAATAGGAAATAAGCATTCCTTTCTTTCAAAATGCAATAATTCACAGGATTATCCACGTTCTTTTGGTACAACAAAATACAGTACCTGCTGGCATGCAGGTTTAATACAGGTACTATATATTCGTTTAAAATGAGCAATGTTGTAGTTATGCAATACTAGATGAGTATTATAATATAAATATTCACGACATACGACACACCAGACAACCACAAGGGACAACCATACACGACATCACAGGACAAAAGGTGAAACATTACAAAACAAAGAGGACTGGCAAAACAGAACAAGTTAGAGTAAAACACGAAAAAGACGTCACATATGAATTGTAAAAACTGTGAGAAACTGAAACGTGTCTGCCAATAAACAACATTCAGTGTTATTGACTTACAGACACAATACTTAGTTTAAACATTGCCAAGTGAACTATCAGTAAAGAAGCAAAAATCTGTTACCACAATGTTGTTCAAACCTGGGCCTGCATTGCTACATGCCATGCCATTCTCCGTTTTTCCCCATTTTGTCAAGCGAATATGTTTGATTCAGATGGCAGAGTGTTACAAGAGTATTCCAAGTATTCTTAACAGATTATATCAACGCATAAATTCTGAAAGAAAACAAAAAAAAATTAAAGGCTTGATACAGTACCTTAATTAAACAGAGAAGTTATGCAGTGCAATTGCAAGCCTACAATAACCTTGTGTTGTGGTTTGTGCCAACTACTTCTAAGAGTATGAAAACACTTTGATGTTTTAAAGAAACGTCGTTCGTCAGGACGAGTAAGCTTCCAATCACAATACTAACCTCGCAAAGAACCTTCACTCAAAAAGTTTTGTTCAATCTTTCTTGACTGATACTGTATTTCACACACCGACCAAAGGAACAAATCTAAAAGAATCGTTTAAACATACTGTATTACAGTATCGTAATGTTTAAAGATAAAACGTGGTGCCCATACATGAGGTAAATCTTTTCATATTTATATTTTCGTATCTCTGAATCGTAATTCGTTAATCTGACTCTGAGGAGCCCACACTCACTCCTCGACTTGGGTTTTTTTATTAATTGTTTTAGTCTTAACAACATAAAACGCTCTCTGAGTTTCCAGCGATATACATACCCTTTTCTAGATATATACCTAATAATAATAAACGAACGAACGAATGTATTCCTTCCACTCGTGAGCTCATTTACCATTGTCACATATAGTAAATGTCCAGGCCTTGTGACCCTGGATGGGCACTTAAAAGGAAAGAATACACACACAAACTGCGCATGAACGAACGTTCAAAGTGAATGCCTCTTGTTAGCCACCTACAAAATTATTATTAGCATAAACAATATGTCTCACACGACTCATTTCCTTGTCGTCATATCATAACAAACCATATCAGGAAATATGAATATCAATTACAAACCTTTAGTCAAATCCATGACCTTCAGGAATATTTACCTACAACTGTAGGATTTAAGTGCAAAGCACCAAAAATAACAATATGAAATTGGTCGAAGACCCGTACTCAGGAAATAAAATAACAACATAAAACGCTCTCTGAGTTTCCAGCGATATACATACCCTTTTCTAGATATATACCTAATAATA